AGGAGAAGGAGAAGGAGGAAGAGAAAGAGAAGGAAGCCGGCGACACCACTGCTCTATTCGAAACAAGAACTCAACCAAGGGAGGTTTGGGAAAAAACGATTGCACGGATGGACGGCAACAGATGTTCAAAATAGGGCCCTCGCTGGCTTGGCGTCGCGCACACACCCAAAAGAAACAACAGCTACGCGGATGGAGGAAGATGTTTTCGTTTTAAGAGAGGGTCCCGCTTGATGCTTTTTCAAAGCTCACGGCCTGAAGTTTCAAGATTGTGCAGCAGTTACACGGATGGAGCGCGGCCCCCTTTCTTCATGGGGATCTCGCGCGAAGCTTCCTCGAAAAATCCGACCCGCCCTTCAAGGCGTAGGTGCTGCCCTAGGGCAGTTCCTCTTCCAACCATTCTTCTCCCCTTTCGGGGAGCGGTTTGATCACTGTTCCCCACCGAAAAACACCCCGCCCCCCAGGCGACCCGCAGCCAACCAGGACCAATGCCACCCCCCAACCCCCCCGATCCTTGTCAAAAACAATACGAGCACACACTTGAAGACAAAATATTGGGTCGTGCCCGCGGCCCCGCGAGGCTTTGCCGCGGGTCGCAGGCTGCCCGACGGCGTTGCCGGATGGGGCAGCCCCCCTGGACTGGATCAACTCGTTGATCTCGTGAATGGCCACGTTGGCGATCGCTAAAGGGGCTGGCTCGGAAGAAAGGTTGTAGCGCATGCCCGGTCTGATGTGCGCGAAGAAGTCGCGGCACTGTTGAGCGACTCCAGCCGGCGCCGGCAGGTCGGCACAGTAGTCGGCAATCGGGCAGGCGACCATCGTGGCAAGCTGCTGGTCGATGAAGTGAGCGAGAACGGTTTACTTGTAGGGCACACCGACTAATGGGGCCGCTGGGAGCGCGTCGCGTCGCAAGTAGCAGTTGGGAGAGGACGCGACATAGGTCATCAAGACGTCGCGTTCGCGTCTCATTGAACTGTCGGGGCCCCGGCCCCGGTCGCAGGTAGTCGCAGGGTCGTCGATGCCAGGGATGGCCTCTGAGATCACTCTGTGGACGTGGATCTCGAAGAGGTGGGCATTCTGGTCGCAGTGCACTGCTGTTTGTGTTGGCCAAGTGCGCAATGAGATCTGGTTGGTGCTCTTCGCCAGACAAACCTGATCTCGTTCCGACTCGCGTTTGCTCAACGGGCTCGGTGGCCCGCTCGCACGGCGTCTCCACGCGCGGCGCGGTCGGCGCCCTGACGGCAGCTTTGACAGGCGGCGGCTTGTAGGGGTCTTTCATCGGGGCCACGTTGCTGCTGCTCGATGTCTTTGGCCGGCCGCGCGCACGCGAAGATGTCTTTAGCAGAGGCATGAAGGGGGCCTCCTGGCGGGGTAGTGGGGTCACTCTGGGTCTGGCCCCTACGAGTTCCAGGTCCCTGTCGTCCGCTAGCACGCAGAGCTCTGCCTTGGTAACAGGAGCCGGCGGGGCGTCGCCCCGCGCGGCGGCGCCTTGGCTGGCACGATCATTGTCGGTGGTGTTTTCTGGCGCGACCCGCCATTCGGTGCTGCCTTGGCGCTGATGTCGGGCTGAGTCGTGAATGCGGATGCTGCAATTGCCTCCATGACTTGGTCGTTGTTGTCTTGAGGCTAGTCGTGCGCCGCTTTTCGCGGTCGGGTTGCCCGCGTGCGCGCGGCTGCTTGCCGAGGTCGCGGTCTGCTGGTTGTTAGGCCGGTAGATTGCGGCTGCGGGCGGCGACGCTGCCTGGATCTCCGCGATGACCAGGCCATTATCCCCTCGGGGCCGACGATGGCGTCGGCTCATTTGCGGACGACGTCGTTGGTAAGGCCAGCGCGCTGCCTATCGTCTTCTACGCAGGCGCGCATCTGGTCTTTGCCCAGACTCTGCATTTTCGCCCTGAGGGTGGCCACGGCTTTCTTGACATCACGGTCGGCGCCCCACCCTCGGATGCTGTCGTCGAGAACGGATATGTCCCCGGAGAATGGCCTGCGGCGATGGTGACCTTGCCCCAGACAGGAGAGGCACCTGCCGCTGGTCTCTCTCTGCCATTGGCGGGAGTCTCATCGCGTCACGGCTGACGGCGTAGAAACATTCCTCATTGTCGGCAGAAAGCGCTCGCTTCCCGTCCGCACCCCAGAAATACGCTGCCAGGGTCGCCCCAGTCCGGCCCGCGGGTCTCGAGGTTGCAGTAGTAGACACGCGCGTTCCACACAACTGGACGCATGGCGACCCGTGGCCACAGCGCTGGCAACTTGCGATTGGAGGCGAGTGGCAAGCCGGGCGGGAGGTTTCCTTGCCCCAACGCCCGCGCTGAGGCGTTCGTTCCACGCCTGGTCGTTTAGGGGATCAACTGGCGAAGGCGGGCAGTTCGGTGGCGGTGGCATGCTGCGGGTGCTGTGGTTATAGGCGAGGTTAGCGGTTAAAACTAGGTCCGCGACTTTGGGGGTGCTGGCGGTGGCAGGCGGCGGCCGCGAGCGCTTTCTCTGCGCTAGCTGCGCGGGGTGCAATTAGGGGTTGACGTCGCTCGCGGGCGTCCGCTTGGCAACGCCTGGTAACTGCAACATCGCCTCGGAGTCGTCGTTGAAGCCGCTGTAGAAATTGTTCGTCGTCTTAGTGAGCATCTTGTTACCCTCCTCGCGGATGTCGTTCCTAATGAGGGACATGAGGTTGCGGATGTCGTCCGCCACGGCGCCACGCAGCCGTAGACGAGGACGCTGGCCGGCCACGCCTGGGCGGCTGGCTCTGAACGGGCGGCCTCGCGTGGCGGCGTCGCGTTGGTCGCAGCGCGGCATTCCTCGATGTGAGTTTCGCATGCGACTTCGGCTGGCGGATGCCAACGCGCGCTGACTATCGGTAGCACCTGAGGGTTGCCGTTGGTAGGTGGTCCGAGTTGGAATTCGTACCATACCTCGATCTCGTTAAAGCTGTTGATCGGGACCCTGCACTCTATCTTGTAGTTCTGCAGGTAGATGAGATCCTCGTCGTTTGCATCGACCAACGGGACGAAGTCGTCGTTGGGGTATCCTTCGGCTGCACGGTGGCCTGCTCGAATCTGAGGTGCTAGGTGGACGAGCATCTGCCCGCAGATGAGACTGTCGCTGCGAGGGCGTTTCGCCCCTGCCTCAGTTTCAAAATATCCGCAAGGTAGAGGAAGAGCGGTAGAGAACGCCGTGGTTTTTCGAGTGAATGACCTCTCGTACTGCTAGTTGGGAGTCTGCACGCTTGTGAACCTGGACCGGAAGACCTTGTGGGTCTGCTCGAGGTTGGTCAGATCTGCCCCTTTTGGTCCCGCTTGTGGTGGGACGAGGCGGATCATACCGGTCTCGGCTAGCTATTTTGCCCGTGGCCACGTTCCGCACTTCGCGCCCGTCGTTCCGCGTCGTGCTCGAATGCCATGCCTCGTATACCGCGATGATCATGGGGCCTTTCAAAACAAATGGGCAACCGAACGGGCTAACCGCCTGAGGTTTCCCCACGAGTTGGGTGCGAATGGGCAGCTGCACCCCTCCTTGGCGGCTTTTCCTGGGGGTGCCCAATGCCATGCTTAATATATCGCGGTGATCATGGGGCTTTCAACAAAAATACGGAGCCAAACAGACAAACCGCCTGAGACATCCCCACAATCTGGGCGCGAACGGGCAATTACCCTGGTCTTCTTTGGGGCACCCAAAACCGACACCTGCTTTATTGCGATGATCCTGGGGCCCTCGGAAAAGAGAAATCTGAGCAACCAAACAAGCAAACCGATTAAGACATCCCCACAGTCCGAGCGCAAACGGGCAAGACTCCCGTTGCCTGACGGATCTTCCCTTTGGTGCCCAAATGCCACGCCTGCCACTTCGCGGTGAGCATTGGACACCCAGAAAAGCGTGGTGTCTGCCTCTGTGTGGGAATGGTCCGCATGTGGGTTTGAGTGTGAGCAAGTCTGTGTGTGTGCTGAATGTTATGACTGTGTCTTACTTCGAATCCACATGAGTCTGAGTGCGAGCGAGTCTGAGTTTCAGTATGAATGATTTAAGTGATGAAAGGGAGAAGAAAGCGGGACAGAGAAACTGAGGAGGCGGAGATGTCCCAGGTATACTAGCAAGAAACCCATGTTGAAACAAGCTCTGGCTTCTTCGACACCGTCGCCCACGAAGAACAACAACGCCGTCGCCCACGACGACGACCACGTCGACGACGACGACAACGACGACGACAACGACGACGACGACAACGACAAAGACGACAACGCCGTCGACGGCGACGACGACAACGACGACGACGACGAAGACAGGGCTTCTAAGAAGGCGCAGAGGCAGGTCTCAAAGGCCTCTATCGACAAGCTTCCTGGAAGCCTGCTGAAACGCCCCCCTCTGTCTTCCTAGAAGCACCGCCGCCTGCTCAGAAGCCCACCCCCCAAACTTTCAACGTCTCGATTGTTCGACACATGGGCCCCCGACCTCTCGACCACCTCCCTGGGAACAGGTTTCTCATCCCAGGTCGTTTCTGACGGCCCCGCAGCCTGGCAGAAAGGCCCCGAGAACCCGAAAAAGATGAAATACCTCCATGTCGGTTTTGTCGAGACGCCGGATGTCTGAAACCGCGCGCCTGGCTCCGCCGACGCCACGCTTGTCGCGACGCGTTCCCGGGGCGGAAACCCGGCGGACAGCGGTCCTGGGGCAATGCCAACGCGGGTCACCACCAGGGTGGTCGCCACTTCCTCCAGGAAGCGTCCTTCCCTCGAGGAGGGGGGCCCCCAATAACACTCCAGAGCCTTTCAAAACCACCCCCGACGACGCCAGACGTCCAAGTGACTTCCGTCTCGACTTCCTTTTTGTTTCGAAACGTTTGCAAACCCGCGGTAGCCAAGTGGTCCAAGACAGTCAGACGCCAGTCAGCAAGCGGTGGGGTGCACTGGGAGCGAATTGAGGCACGATGGCGAAGAGGAACGGAGCGCGAAGAGGTTTTTCGAAACACCAGATGTCTAAGCTGATGGGCGCCGCCAAGCCGAGGGCTGCGGCGCCTCGGCCTGGCATGCGGCCGCAGCGGCGGCACGGGCCTCCAGCAGCCGCCGTTGCTCCTGCCCGGCACGGCCGCGCAACCCCCCCGAACAGGAGGAGCCCCAGATCATCCGAGGCGAGGCCGACGCAGTGTCCCTACACTTCCCTTCCTCCTTACTCCCTCCTCCTCCTCCTTCCTCCTCCTCCTCCTCCTCCTCCTCCTCCTCCTCCTCCTCCTCCTCCTCCCCCTCCTCCCCCTCGTCATACTTCTCCTCCTCACTCCCTAATCGTCCTCATCCTCCATTTCCCTCCTCCTCCCTCCTCCTCCTCCTCCTCCTCCTCCTCCTCCTCCTCCTCCTCCTCTCCTCCTCCTCCTCCTCCTCCTCCTCCTCCTCCTCCTCCTCCTCCTCCTCCTCCTCCTCCTCCTCCTCCTCCTCCTCCTCCTCTCCTCCTCCTCCTCCTTCTGCTCCTCCTGCTCCTCCTGCTCCTCCTACTCCTCCTGCTCCTCATCCTCATCCTCATCCTCCCCCATCCCCCTAATCCTCATCCTCATCCTCATCCTCATCCTCATTATCATCCTCATCATCATCCTCAGCATCAGCATCAGCAGCAGCATCATAATCCGCATCATAATCATCATCATCATCATCATCATCATCATCATCATCATCATCATCATCATCATCATCATCATCATCATCATCATCATCATCATCATCATCATCATCATCATCATCATCATCATCATCATCATCATCATCATCATCATCATCATCATATCATCATCATCATCATCATCATCATCATTATCATCATCATCAGCAGCAGCAGCATCATCAGCATCATCAGCATCATCATCATCATCATCACCACCACCACCACCATCACCATCATCATCATCAGCATCATCATCATCATCGTCATAATCAGCATCATCACCAGCATCACCAGCATCACCAGCATCATCATCATCATCATAAGCATCAACATCATCATCAGGATCAGCATCAGCATCATCAGCGTTAGCATCATAATGATCAGCATCATCATCGTCATCACCATCGACGTCATCACCATCATCGTCAGCATCAGCATCATCATAATCATCAACATCATCATCATCATCATCAGTATCCGCATCATCATCGTCATCATCATCAACATCTGCATCATCACCATCATCATAATCAACATCGTCATCATCGTCATTATCATCCTCAACTGCATCATCATCAGCATCATCAGCAGCAGCATCAGCATCATCATCGTCGTCATCATCAGCAGCATCATCAGCATCAGAATCAGTATCAGCACAATCCTCATCATCAGCATCATCAGCATCATCAGCATCAGCATCTGCATCATAATCATCATCCTCATCATTCTCATCATCCTCATCATCATGATTATCATCATCATCATCATCATCATCATCATCATCATCATCATCATCATCATCATCATCATCATCATCATCATCATCTCCCTCCTCCTCCTGCTCTTTCTCCTCCTCCTGCTCCTTCGCCTCCTCCTCCTCCGCCTCCTCCTCGTCCTCCTCTTCCTCCTCGTCCTCCTCTTCCTCCTCATGGTCCTCCTCCTCCTCCTCCTCCTCCTCCTCCTCTACAGTCGGCACTGATGGCATCGATGTCACATGTGATGTTGCCTCCCCCCCTCCCAGAAACGGCGGTCGCCCCTGGGGGGGTGCTGATCAATCTACGCTAAACGCAAGAAAACATGAAAGACGACTGGCACAGCCACCCGGAGCGAGATAGCTGTGTCCTCCTGCGCACGTCCCTCCCTCCTCCACCTCTCCCTCCTCCTCCTGCTCCTTTTCCTCCTGCTCCTCCTCCTGCTCCTCCTCCTTTTCCTCCTCCTCCTCTGCAGAAGATCGGGAGGAAGGCAAAGAATGATGCAAACAGGACTCCTGTCCACATCTTTCCCACGTTGCTGATCACCCCATTCGAATGTGCGCTGGTCTACTGGCTTTAGCACCGGCCTAGAAAGCTCACAGCACCTCTGGTGCTATAACGCGTAAAAGTGCTCTCTTCTGACTACTGGTGCCAACATGCTGCCCTACCCCAGGCAAACATGCAAGCGGATGCCCCAGAAAAGCCCGCAAACTTCAGTGCAAGTGCATGGCCCAGGGAGCCCAGAAACTTTAGTCCAGGCGACTGGGGCCTTACGTTTGCACGGCATCCCGAAATGATACCATCACCTGGGAATTATACACGAGTTTCAGGGTTGCACGCATTGGCACACGTTCCCGCGAAAAAAACAGCTAAAAAAAACGGGAATTCAGTTCAGATGGACCATCGCATGGCTCCCTCGTGCCATCGGAACGTCTTCAAACGATTATAATTCGCCTCGCGTGGTCATGCGTCAGAGAGGGTCACGACAACGTCATCGCAAGAAAAACACATCCGGTCCAGATGCGGGCGGGCCGTCACCATGCCTCTCCACGAACCGTATATCTGAAAGATGTTATCCCGACATCGGCTGGCGGACTCCCTGGACCACCCGCCTGCAAAGCAGAAAAGCAATGATCGCCGCCCAGTGCGCCAATTGCGACGGGATGAGACGAAGAATAAAGCCCGTGGATTGGAGACTTCCCTACATTTCGTACAATGAAGAAATACATGGGCCGCTCCCGTACTTTAGCACAACCGTGAATTACCCACAGGAGGCTCTTGGCGTGCTCCTGGGATCTGCAGACCCCCCATCCAGATTCGATACGCGTTTGGGGCTGCCTCGGCCCAAATAGGAACCCAGTCCCAGCTGGTGGAGATACCTTTTCCCCTCGCTTCGCCCCAAAACGCCCGTGCAGTGTGTCCGCATCAACTTTGTCAAAGACAAGGTCTGTAGGAAGCTAGCCCAGCCTTTCCAGCTCAAAGCTTCGGTGAACTTGGGATCCAAGCTTCAACACGCAGAGTGGGCCCCAAATTGTAGACGACATCCCCCGCACCAAAAAACACGAATCCGAATCGTAGTCAATACCGAACTAATCATGAATAGTACCTCCCACATCACAGCTGGAAGAACATAAGGAGACCGAATCCAAGATAATAGGTCTTATTGGACGTCCTCTACAAGCGACCGAAATCGGAACGATGGAGTAGGTGCGAATAACTGCCACAGCGCGGTAGCGTAGGAGTTTGCAATATCCCAGGAGAACTCGCATTGCGACTGCGGAAGGACAATGATCCCGATGCGCAGGCTTCTGCCCAGGATGCCAAGCTGGTCAAGAAGATTGCGAACTTGCCGAAGTAGCTGCAATGCTGGTTTTTGTAGGGGTGGGGGCACACCTGGACCGCAGCAGTCCACCTAGCGCGGCTTCTTGACTCAATTGTTCCTGACTTTTCACTTCCCCTGACTGAACCTGTGGTTTTGAAACATAGCTACTACCACATTTCCAAATTGATACCATGATAACAGTGCTGAGGACTATTGTGATTAGTGTTGAAGAAGATCATGGACAATATGGATAGGTACGTATGTAGAGGCACTCTGGATCGTATGTGGATAGAGCGTACCGGCGTAGGCTGCGGCACGGGGCTAGTCACTAACCCTCCGATGCCGCCCACAACCCCCTGCAGAAGATAAGGAATAAGGCAAGGAATACTGCAGACCGGACTCCTTTCCACGTATTTTCCACGATGCTTATCACCCCATCCTCCTCCTCCTCCTCCTCCTCCTCCTCCTCCTCCTCCTCCTCCTCCTCCTCCTGCTCATCCTCCTCCTCCCTCCTCGTGACCCTCATCCTCTGGCCCAGGATCGATGCATACGCCACCCTGGGCCTGGCCAAGAACACATCGTACAGCAAGCACATACGATAAGAGATTGAATTTGAAGAAGTCTAGGGCCACATTCGACGCAAATCTTTGAGTGTCGTAAGGTGCTCAAGTGCTCCTGTGGTCCCGAGGGGCCATCCGGAGATTAGAGATTCTCGTGGGCCACCCGCTGGCAGGCCAGTTTCTTCTCGGGTGTGCGGTTGTAGTGTGCTGGTGCAGGTGTATGATGGGTGTACGGCCTGCTCCTCTAGGCCAGTGCAGGTGTATAATGTATACAGCAGGCTCCTGCTGCGACGACGTCGGCTTTAGATTCCGACACCCTGTGCGCCGCTCACCCCTTCAACGACCTCCACTATCGGAGGCCCCAAGAGGCTCTCTCGACCCGATCTTTCGCAGAACCTTCTCCCCCTGCGCTTGGAGACCACCCAGACGGGCTCGGAGCAGGCGGGGTCGGTAGAAAGCACCGTATCGGTGATGCATCGGTGACGTCGGATTGAGAAAGCCAGGCTCCAGATCGAGCCGCATCGCCAACACATCAACGATGCGGTGCTGTCCATCGATACCGTCGGCCTGGCCCAATTTGGGAAAGCCTGGAGGGTGACATGCTCTTGAGTTGAATTAGCATTGGAAAGTGAATCGAACATAAGACTGCAGCCGCGATGGTCCAAAGCGCACTGTTCAAAAGCGCAGACTTACAGCCCGGACTCTCGGAATGCGTTGTCGAAACTCTGTCAGCGAACACCGGCCCCGAGGCTTCCTGTGGGCCCACCTCGGACCTGGAGCGGGTCCCCTGATGGCGTTCGACCTCGAGCGACCGCACCAGAGTCGCCGCCGTCTCGAGGCGGCAAGGGCCTGGCGCGCGCCTGGGCGCAGCTCGGGGGCATCCAACAGGAGGAAGGCATCCGAAAGGGAGGTTCGCAGATCATGGCCCGAAGCACGTGCACTGCCCAGGGGCGGGGAGGGCGGCCAGGGGACGCGTTGAGGTAAGAAGAGGGGGCCACGAAACCCGGGGAGACATCGTGGCCGTGGTTCACCCGTTCGTCCAGGCCTCGTCCGGGTTTCGTCCAAATGTCGTTCAGAGATCGTCCAGATGTCGACCAGATCCGATGAAATCTGGACGAAATCTCCAAAACCGAAGTTGGGGACCCTCTGAGGCCTCCATGAAGAATCACTCACGATGTCTGCTGCCAACTGTCCCCCCCCCCCTCCTGAACGCCCCAAGCATATCGGAAGCCTGGAGGGCCGCTTCCCACGGGCCCCCGAGGACCAGGCAGGCCCGCACAGAGGGCGCCCGCCCTCGAAGGACCGCGCCAGCGCCGCCGCACCGCGCCCAGGCGTCACGGCCCCGCCAGTGCGCGCCCCCAGGGCGCAGCTGAAGCTCGGATCAGGGAAGGACTCGGCTCGGACAAGGGAAAAACTCGGCCAAGTGGAACTCGGCCAGGATGAACCGGCCAGGCTGCACTCGGCCCAGGCCGAATCAAGCATGGCCGAGTTCACCCCGGCCGAGATCGGCCCGGCCGAGCCCAGCCTGGCCGAGTTCAGTCTGGCCGAGTTCTTACTAGCCGAGTCTAGTTGCTGGCCAGCTGAGGGCTCTGGCCAGGGGAGCCCCATGCGGTCCTCCTGCGCCAGCCGCTCAGACGTCGCGCGGTCCCGCTGCTCCGCGGCCTGCGCCTCGAGGGAGGGGAGAGGCGCAGTCACCTGATTTTCGCGAGCTCGGAACTGATCCCGAGCTTTGGTTTGGCTACCCACCCCTCCTTCTTCCACTACTTTCTCGTCGCTTCCCTGATCGATGCAACTGGGCACCATTTCTGAAAGAGCTGGTGGGTATACGCAGAGCGTCAAAAACCTGGGTCTGCGCAAGAATCCACTCCGCTAAACCCTCTGGGAAAGTGCGAAACGCCTATAATTACACACACTGCAGCACCCACGGAGGGTGTGGTTCAGTTTCGCTGGGTGTATGACGCCACTCCGCTGACCCACGTGAGGCGGTGCAAAGCGCTAACAAGGCTGAGCACACTGAATTCATAGTCACGCTAGCCTCACCCAGCTAAGCTGGACACACTGCTCCTAGTGTAGCTGAAAAATGGCTATGCAAATCCCGCTAAACCGACCAAACCACGTTTACGCGCAAAGATACGAAGACTAAGTCAGCATGGCTGACTCAACAGAACTGCCTGGATACCTAACCCAGCCGACCCAAACTGGACGCATACAACGCCCTACTGCAGGCGAAACTCTCAGCCGAGCACAGGGCTGAAAAGCTAGCCTCAGTTGAAAAGCTGCGTTTCATGCAATTGCACGAGACCCCGTGGGCTCGTCAAACACCCCATTACTGCATTATGATGCTCGAAACACACGCGTGAGCTCAAAAGACACCGAACGTCATTCAAAATAAAAACCGCCCTACTGTAGTATACCCCGTTTGATAAGCATCGATGTTTCACTGCACAAACGTCTAGAAGAGTGTGAGATTAAGCCTGCTTCGCCCCGATGACACATGAACGCATGCGCAGCGTCTGCGAGTGATTGTGTGCGCATGCTCGACCGCTTGATTCAAAATGAAGTCGCCCCTAAACCCCTGGAAACCTCGCAGGCCACAGCGCAGGCTGGAGACCACGGTGGCAAAAACAAAGCTCAAGCCATGTTTATAAGCCCTGTATACGTATAGAACGAACACCAACACACAACCTGGAAGACGTCACTGGTGGGCAAAACCTATGCTACAAACACAGCACCATGATTGAAAGTAACCGTCCAAATTGCTGCGCTGTCCGATACGTTGGACTGGGCGGTCACCAAAGGCCTCCCACCTTCCTCTATGCACGGTCCGACTATCCCGAATTACGAACGCCAAGAGATCCGGCCTTGGCACGTGCGGCCTGGGCCTCCACAATCGCAGCACTCCTCGCCGCATCCGCACGGCAAAAACAACAAAACGACGTGAGGACATTGAAGAAAATCGTTCGACAACGAATGGGCTGCAGGCAGTGCAAATGAAGAACGCACGATGCGACGAATAGGGTGCACAAAATATAACGCGAATGACTAGAAACATGTCTACATTATCAGCTATCCCGTGCCTTTCGCACCACATTAAGATAACCTGTGCTTCACCACAACGTTGCAACAGTCAACGGGTTCGGAAACAAAATCCTAATTTCGCCCATGCGAGTACGCATCGGCTTTGACTGACAATAGCCCAACAGGGCGCACGGACCGCGTCCTCATCCTCCTTTTTATTATGCTGTGGGCCCATTGCGGTGATATCGAAGCACACCTAAGCAAACTGACACTCAAGACTATGACGACGACGGCTCAAAGGATCACAATACAGATTAAGGCGGCCGACTCCAATGGCTGAGCATTGATCTCATTCACTGGCATGAGTGAGCCCTCCGAACCTGTTCGTTCATCCGAAAACGTCCCCCATCATGCTTGAACGTCAAGTCCTCCGCAGCGCGGTAAAGATGGCGTCAGGCTCCTTTTTCGTTTCACACACCTCGACGAAGCCTGCGCCTCGCCGAATTTTCGGCGCAGGCGCCGCGGGCGCTCGCCTCTGCGAGCACTTGCTGAACTCTTCGAGCACTCGCGGAGCTTGTGCCGAAAATCGCCATTGCGGTGGCGACGCTCCCAATCGCTGTTAGCTACTAGATAAGTGTCTTTTCCTATCGCTGAAACGATCTAGTAGGTCCTGTGCTTTCGACCCTAAAAGCAAGGCTGATCTGTTCGATCAGACATTTCCGAGCGACTGAGAAAAAAACGAGATTCATGCTTACTCGCGGCACCTGAACAGCAAGATTCAAGGTTGCCGCTGAGAGAACTCGCTGAACGAAGCGGGCCTGACTCAATCTCGATATGGAAAGCTTCCCAGGGGCAGGTCTCATTCTGGCATGCGTTCTGGCATTCGTCATGACAAAGTGTGCCGCCGAGCTTACGCTCCCAATTGCAATACTTTGTCGACATGTGCCGCTGGATGTGAATAGTTCGACAATCGCAATGGCCACAACGATGGCGTTTGCCTGAGACTTTTATCCGCGCGATGCGAATCAACTGAGCAAAGAAGCATCTCATACCACGGCTGGTGGGCTGACATCAATTCGGTCCCGATAAATGTTAACTTCGTGCCGGCCGGAATGCACAATACGCCATCATGTTATTCGTTTTATCTTGGCGGATGTGAATGAGCCGAACTAGTTTAATCATTTTCTGTTCTAACGTATCTGGAACTTCCGTCAAAAGACTCGACGGACCGTTTTTTGGCGAAGCTAACAGCACCTACAAAGCATCACCATGTTTCACGCGTTGAAAAGCACAGCGTCCGCGGCAATGCAAGGGCCACTGTCGGATCCGATCGAAATTGAAGACAGTCTAGTAAGGAACTGCTTGGGGATCAATGATTCGCAACTGGCGATCGCCGAGCATCGTTTTACTAAAATGCTTTGCTGGCGATTAAAACGATTTCAAATAGTTAAAAAGTTCAGTCCCAAAAATTGCATCACGCATGCATGAAAATTATGATGCGGTAGCTCACACGCATGGGGTCGTACTTTGACACCTGGCCAGAAACCCGGTAACCTGTGTTAAAACCGATCCAAGACGAAGGAAACAACGCCTTTTGTTTAAACGCGACGCGCATCGCTCGACACGGTACCCATTATGAAAGAGGCTGTTTACAAGTGTGCGTTCTACTGATGGCTGTATACTTCCATACGTCTTCTAGAAATCACATGTTGGATGTTATGCGTCCGTTGTTGCAAATGTTTATGTGTAAAGCGTAGTGTGTTTCTTACTGTTGATAACGGATACGATCTTGTACGTCTGAACGTCGCTGAATGTTGTTACATGTCTAAGCTACTTCAAAGGTTCGTGATTGAAAAAACTTATTTACGGCAGCAACGCCAACAAGCAGCCCCGCCTGAAATGCGTCCGCTAAGGGTGACGGAAAATAACATTACGAAACAAAAAAAATCCAAAGCAACCACCATCACGCAATCGTTGATTGCATCTTCAAGTGCATTAGAAACTTCTCAATACCTATACACACCTATCCACCGGTTCAACAATCCTACACCTCCAGCGAAACGGTTGTCTTCGGCACGACACGTTTGCTTCCCATGTGTGGGAAAAACCAAATGGGGGCCAGAATGAGAAAAGAGAAGGGGGAAGCAAACCGACACACGATAGAAATGATGCTCCAAGCCGAAGTTTTCTTATCTTTGAAAAATTGCGCAGACCGGAAGATTTTTCTCTTGAACCCAAATGTCCGAATCGACGTGCCGTTCAGGTGTGCGGATACATGCAGCATTCTCTTCGGTTTCGTGCCTCTTCTGTCCTCTTTCCTCTCTCCGTCCTGGGAAAACGTCCCCTTCCCCTGTTGAATCATAACTGTTGTCAGCAGAATCACAATTCTGTGGATAGCATTATTCCCGTGACCCGCGGATCCAATGTCCCTTGAGTCCGGGATATGCATAAATCATATACTTAGTACCGCAAAATATATGGGTCCAGGAGTGCTCACACGCGGGAAATTGGATCCGCGCAAGACTGAAACAGAATCCACCACAGTGTCGCACACCCAAAAAAAAATGATCTAATTGGATCCATCGGTGTTTCTCATAGTTTGAGTCAAGGAAGAAAAACTTTCGACCTGGGGATGTAATCGCTCGGAACAACACGCGGCTGACCCAGCCCCCTGGCTGGCGGAAACATAATGAAACACATGCGCAAGAAGGGAAAAAGCGAGGACTGGAGGAAAATGGGGGGTGAGGAAGGGAGGGAAAACAAAAGGGAAAGCCACAGGTGACGCAAACGACAGAAGCGACAGAGGAGATCAACCGAGGGGTGAAACCCAAGCCCCACGCTGGAAACGTGCGCGGCGCGCACCCTGGCTCCACGCCAAGCGATTGGGCTGGAAAAGAAGGGGGAAGACCAGGAGAAAACGGCGCGTGCTGAATGTTTGAAAACGTACGAAGATAATCCACAAATATGTAAAAGTTGTGTCGCGCTTACTCGTATCATTTTTAATGTTCGGGCTGTTTGCACTGTTTGTGCATGTGGCTGTTTCTTGTTGAGCAGGTCATAGCTCTCTATAAGATGCAAACACCTCAAAGAATGAGCCCACCACAATGGACTGGTCAAACAAAATCAAACTAATGGCACCTCTCCAACACCCCCACGCGATCCACGAACCGCCACTGAACATGCTTCACACGAGCGAGGAAGACATCCGAACACCAAGCAAAGGGGACGGACAAATAGACGCTCGACCAACGAAAAAACGGTATCTCACAACAAAAAAAACAAAAAACAAAAACAAAAGCTTGGAGAAGGACCCCCAACCAGATGCAATTGTGAATACCGTCATTGCGAGCATCGCCTTCGGGAGATCCCTTTTTTGGGCCGGGACGCGAGTATAAAGTGCGCGGGGAGATGAAGCGGGGCCGCCATGGGTGTGAAGGGCGTGCCGAAACGGCGCGGCCGTGCCATGCGAAACCTCCCACTGGGGCCTCAAGTGGAGCTCCCCATGGGGGCGTCCGAGGGGCGTGCGGACAGCGGGCGGGCGCCACGTAAACCCTCCCAGCGGGGCCTCGAGTGCCATGGAATGGAACGAAATAAGAGTCCGCAAGGAAGGCAGAAAGGAGGAAAACAAACCGGCTCGGCGCCCCCGCCACGGCCGCTGAGAGGATAACCCCCACGCGTACCCCCACCTTTTCTTCAATGTCGAAATCGCCCTCTTCCGCGGCTCTGGCGCGCCGCCGTTGGCGCCAGCGATTGACCGCCGCCTCCATGTCTTCCTCGGTCAGACCGCAGACCACTGACATCTCTACCCTGGTCAGCATGCGCCTGGGCTCCCGCCGCCTGGAGAGCACCCACGTTCGGCACTGCTGGTGCCCTGGGTCCTGGCCGTCAGCCAGGCGGGACCTCTAGCTCTGGAGAGCGGACGCCATGGCCCCTCGGCACGCGCCGGCCAGGTTGCGGGCGCACGCCACTAGGGCCCGGGGCGGGCGGCCCAGGGCAGCAGCCGCGGCAGCCTGGAGCAGATGTGCACCTGTTCGGGCCCTTGTGCGCGAAGCTCCACTGACGCCGCCGCCGTCGAAAGCCGCGGGCCCAGCGTGGGCTTCGGCGCGCGCGCTGCCGGGGCCGTCGCCGACGCCCAGCCCCACCTCTGCGGCGCCCTCCGGGCGCCCCTGCGGCCGAGCCTCCAAGCCATCGCAATCCCTGGTGCCCTCGTCGGCCAAGATCGCGCGATGCTTCCCCGACCAGCTGGCACGCTGCCCTGCATTTGGCCCGCGCGTCGGCGGCCGCGTTGCTGGCGCGCCCCCGGCGGGTTGCCCTCCCGGCCTCGACGTCCACGTGCGCGGCGACGGTAAAATCGCCGATCCCAAAGGAACCCCAGAAAGACCCTCACAGGTGGGCTCGCTCATCGCCCAGGGGGGGCCCTGGCCCGCGCCGGAGGGCGGACGCGGCCCTGGCGCCATCGACGGAGAAGTCGAAGTGCCCCATCGCCACTTGTGAAAACGGTGAAATCAGCGAGATCCTCGCCATCTCGGCCGGGCAGCCCGGGGCACATTGCCAGCGGGACAAGCCCATAAGCAGCAGCTTCAGGCACGCCTCAACGCTTGCACTGATCGACTGCACACCCAGCCGGCCGACGCCTTGCGAAGGCGGAGCCGCCAATAGAAAGCATGCCCTCGAGTCAACCTGAGCTGGGCCGATCCCAATGGATCTCGAACTCCCGGCAGCCGATACCGCTCCAGGTGCTGGCGGTTGGGGCAGATCCCGCATGCGAAACGCTCGGCAACCAAGGGCCCCCCTTGCTGCGCCCGCCGGGCCCTCGCCACCAGGAACGGAGACGTGGCCAGACAGACCTTGCACAGCCCACACTCCGCGAGACCATGGCGCCG